GGGGAAGGTGGGTCGAGGCCCGACTTGGGTCCCAGAATTGGTTAGTGGGGTTTGGCCCCGTCCTTGCTCACCTTTGGGGCTGCTTGGGCACCAACTCCCCCCACACACACACACATGTTGGTGTGGGAGGCCCACGGATCCATGCCACCCCCCTCCTCACTCGTATTGCAGGTCCTGCCCAAAAGCAGCCAAAGGATTTGGCTACCAGAGGCAGGCAGAAGCCCGCCGGCCCCTCTCTCCGTCCGTGGTGGTAAAATGCGGTCGTTTGGCAAGGCAAAATGGCACAGCATCGGCTGATCTGTCGTGCCCGTGGCTGCTATCCACCGCTCCGGGAGACAGCCGCCTTGCTCTCCCCACCCCCCAGGGCCGGCTCTTGGCTGCACAGCTTCGCCAGCGCGGTGGGGGGGGGCAAAGAGCCCAAATAGCTGAGCTTTTTAAGGCGCCTCTGGTGCTGCGGGAAGAAGGAGGAAAGGGGTTGCTGGCTGACCCCCTCAGGAGAACAGGGGACGAGTGCTGAGAGAGAGGATTTCTGGATAGATCCCTTAAGTGGATTCCAGGGGGGGGGGAGGGAGAAGCCGGCTTTGGCCCAGCCGATTAGAGACTCCCTCCGCTCCATTACGTGGTGGCTTCTGGCGCCAGTTGGCTTCCCAGGTGGCTTTAGGCGGCCCCTTTATGCGTCCATGGCAGGAGGGACGTCAAGGCCCCCCCCCGGGGAGCCCCAGGAGACGGAGAGAGCGCCGGCCTCCCTTCCAGGGACCCGCCGGCCTCGCCAGGTTCCCTTCCAGATCTCGGCACAGCGCATGGCCTCGGAAAGTGGTGGTGAACGCGAGGGTCCAGCTGGCCATCATCCCTCGGGCGGAAGGCGCCCTGCCTTTGTGGCCAAGGGAGGACGTGACCTTTGAGGCCGTGGCTTCGGCCAGAGAGAGAACACCAGGGGGTGGGGTGGGGGGTGGAGTGCTTTGAACCAAAGCAAGGCCCCAGCGCTGGTCAGAAAGGATGATCTAAGATGCTTCCAGGCTCTGTCAGATTTATTCCAGCGCAATCCACCGGATAGGAAGGCTGGGGGAAAATTCACCGTTCCGTCACCGGGCGGTGAGTGTCTCCAGAGGCACGCGAGGATGACGAGGAGGCCGCCTGGCTTCGTATCAAGGATCACTCGTGCCAATCTTCTCTGCTTTAAGTGGTGGTTGGGGGAGGTTGTAGTCACGGGGGGGAGGGGGAAGGAACTTCCCCAAGCGCTGGACCCACTGTTAGTGACGCCGCCATCTCCTAGAAGTGTTCGTTGATGGCCTTCAATGGACAGGCCAAATGCCTCCAGAAAATAATTGTTTTACCGAGGATTTGAATAAAAATGGAGAAAGGGTCCACGCCTTCTCCCCCCCCCCCACGATTTACAGATGATACGAAGGTGGGAAAATCCAGAACCTGGAAACGTTCCTCTTTGTTTGGACTACAAAGCCCAGAATCCCCCAGCTAGGGGGACAGAGTCGGTGTTCTTACAAGGGCTTTTGGGTGCCCGGCTGCAGAATTCCCCCCCCCCCGCAGCACCTGCAGGGAGGGGCATCACTCCTGGGTAGCCGCGGGCAAGTGGCACAAAGGGTCACAGAGCGCCCCCTGAAGGGAGAGTCTGGGAACTGCTTTGGAGAGCTTTGAACCCAGAAAACTCAGGCAATGAAACAAAACAAGGACGGGACTCACAGGGTGCCGGAAGCTGTGTTTTTTTTAAGCACCCCCAGGGCTGCCCTACAAGGAGAGCCTGAAGCCGTGGCTTTTTAAAGGTCACTCCACCACCGGGAACCCCCTAGAGGCAATGAAACAAAACAAGGACGGGACTTACAGGGTGCCGGAAGCTGTGTGTGTGTTTTTTTTAAGCACCCCCAGGGCTGCCCTACAAGGAGAGCCTGAAGCCGTGGCTTTTTAAAGGTCACTCCACCACCGGGAACCCCCTAGCCATGGTGTCCACTGGGCGTGCTAGCTGGGGGATGCTGGGCTTGGTAGTCCCCGGCCATCCTGTTTCTGAGCCGCCCCAGCCTGCCCCAGCCGGCGCCTCTTTTCTCAGGCTGGGCCTGGGAAGACCGACCAAGAGAGAGACAGGCTGAGCCGCTTTGCCCCCCCCCCGATGGGTTTGCCCCTTGGCCC